GATGGCCAAGTGCAAAACGGTGATTCAGACGAAACGTTTCGAAGCTTCTCATTATGGTATGCTTCATTTCAGATATCGGTGAAATCGTTCATGGATAACGATGCTTTGAGCTTCACTTGACGGAGGAGAGAGTTGGAGAAGACAATGACGACGATAAACTCCGACGATGGAAGTGGAGTTCGTCGAAGAGAGAAGAGCAGAGAGAGAGAGAGAGAGAGAGAGGCCAGTTTGATTTGAAAGGATCAAATTTTTCTGTGATGTGTGGGTGCCAGGGGTTGAGGGACTTTAGACATCACAAAATAATATTGTGGATCTCTTCCATTACGAAAAAATGAGAGAGAGACCTTAGACTAATTTTCCTAAGTTTTAAAGCTCTCACAAGGCTCCTCACGAAAAGTCACTTTGCTGTAACATATAGTATAGATGTTTTAATTCTAAAGTCTTAGTTTGCAAATAGTATAAACTTAATTTTATCTTATAGTGCTTTATGATTGATAGATTATAACTTTGTGTATGTGATTGCATAACATACAGTAAAATACCACAAATTAATCCAAGAGTAGAGAATTTTCGTGAAACTTTTTCTGATATTTCTTTCATGAAGTGTAGCATTACTTCTTTTTTTTATTTTTATTTATTTATTTATTTATTTATTTTTATGGTATGAGGTTTCAAATTTAACTTTTGTGGAGAGGAGTTTGATACCTTTCGTGGTGGTGGTTTACTTTTTTGCTAGATTGTAAGTAGTAGTGGTAAGTGGACTTGATGGGCTTGTAATTAACTCAATTGAACCCCCCCTCCCCCAAAAAAAAAAATCCTCAAATTCTTAGTCAATTCTTTTATTAAATATAAATTTAATGAAAAAAAGTTAAAAGTAAGTTATAATTGTTTCATCAAATTTATATCAAATTGAGAAAGAAAGTAAATTTGTTATCAAATTAAGAATGAACCAAATCATTCACTAAATTTTTTATAAGTATATTCTTACTCAAATTTGATGAAATCTTAAAAATAGCAAGAATTGAATAATTTTTTTTCATAAAAAATTATGGAAACATGTTTTCTTAGGATAATTTTGAAAATGTTCAAAAAGATATGATAAAAGGAAAGAAAGAGAGAGTGAGTAAAAAGATTGGATTGTTCTATATCACATCAAAATTTTCACTCAAATTTAATAGGAAAAAAGAGTGTAGAAATTAAAGATGTTATTAGATTACTTAACGTGAGTGAATCTCATTAAATTGTTAAATTTTTAAATTTTTGAAAGCATATTTGAGTCCAAGTTTATAGAGATATATCGAACATCTAACTATACTAATATGATTTAATAACCTACTAACTTCCTACTAAATATAAAGGTTTATATGTATTGTCGAATATGGATATCTAGTTATATGTAATCTTATTTGGAGTTGTCATGGTGATGTCGTGGAGTTGTCATGGTGATGTCTCGGTGCAGAGGTGCACAGAAGAGGAGCGGGGTGCAGGTGGGGGTCTGTAGCTGGTGGTGTGTAGCAGGTGGGCGTGGAGCAGCTTAGGCCTGGGTAGTAGCTGTAGGTGGTCATTATTTTGGGATGCAGATTAGTTGGGTTTTCAGTTCGGGTAACTGTGGTTGTTGGTTTAATTTTCTAGTTTGGTTTGGGGGTTTTGGTGGGTGGATTTTGCGAAGATTCATGTATTTTAATTTTTTAGTTAAGTTCTGCTTAACTTTATTTTAAAAAAAAAAAATTGAGAGGCTTAGGGGTTGGTTGTAGGATTGCGAGTAGCAGTAGTAGGAGTATTTTTATATTTCTGAATCTCTCTCGATGCATATCTTCTTCCTGTACCTTTAATTTCAATGATTTAATAACCTACTAACTTCCTACTAAATATAAAGGTTTATATGTATTGTCGAATATGGATATCTAGTTATATGTAATCTTATTTGTCATTGCGTTTATAGCCTATTACATGAGCCAAAAACTTGTATGAAAAATAAATTAGACAATGAAAAAGATTGTGAGATAATTGAGGGGAAAAAATATACAGTAAAACTTTGTGCACAAAAGAAATTAATGTATCCCAAAGTGAATTTGGGTTGTACATTATTTTATTTTATTTTTTTGAATTTTTATGGTCATTTTTTTGTGTATGTAGTGTTACTATAAAAATATACAACAATTCGTTACATAATAAGTTTTGTAAGAATTATTAATTGTCCAACATAATACACGTGCAATGAAAATAATTGTATACAAATATGTAGTATGAAGTTCTGCCTTCAAAATTTAATACAAGATGTTCATCGTGTTTTTACAACCCTTTGTTTTGATTCTCTTTTAGTGGTGAAGTTAAATATTGGCTCCTCCTAAAAACTTGTGAAACAATAAGCATTTTGTAAAGTGACTTATTTGAAATATTGCATTTGTTTAGAGCTAGTGTTATTGCACCTTTTAGCTAGCAACCCAATTGTAGTACAAGAACTACAATTCAACATTAGCCATGCAAATCATGCATTATGGTTTTCATATGAGAAATAAGATATTTCTTCTAATTATTCACTTATTATTTTAGTGAGTTACACATGTAATACCTCATTGTTTTAAAAATGCCCTTTTTGCCTAATATGGGAGGTAGCTATATGCACATAATCTAGTTGCTACATGCACACAATATAGTCATTAATTCTCTCTCTCTCTCTCTCTCTCTCTCTCTCTCTCTCTCTCTCTCTCTCTCTCTCTCTCTCTCTCTCATGAAATGCAGTATTTCACTAGATTACACATTCATTGTTAGTAATTATCATCGTTGCGTAAAATAATTTGTATTGAAACATAAATTCACAATTGCATTGAGCCTTTCATGTGTCAAATTAACCAAATTTACAATGTGAGTTATTTACAAAAGGAAAATGTATTATAAATACGTGTCACACTCAATTAAGTAAGAGAGAAAGAGAGAGATGGGTAATACAATTTTTATTTTTATTTTTATTTTTAGCATTGGTTTTCATAAGATCAGTACTCTGATTCTTTTAGGAGTTAGCTAAAAAGTTAATTTATTGATTAAAAATAAATTGATAAAAGAAATAATTTAAAAAAAGAAACTAGCTCGTTTGACATTTTCTTAACTTTTTTTTACTTTTCTAATAGTTTTTCAAAATGATTAAAGTTGACATTTTGGGAAAAAATGTATATGCCCAAATGCTAAAACTTTATTTTTTATTATAGCAAACTTTTAACTAACAAACTAACTTTTAAGAAGTTGTTAAAAGAAACTAATCAACCACATACCTAATGCATGATCAATCTCAAAAGCTAATCACTGTCCCCAACAACAGCAAAATCAAGTAAAAACAAAATTGTAAGTTTGTTTCTCTTAAAATATCATTTGACATAGTAAGTCTAGTATTAGTTGTTCCATACGAGTTAGCCACGTGGCAATCCAACACATATAAATTACACATAATTGCAACTAGGCAGAAATTTCAACACTTCGATTACATGATAGAAGAAGAGATGGTTAAAGGCAGTTGCTGAAAGAGATTTGAATTTAAATATAAGGAGAGAACCTCATGACAGAGAAGTATGGGTAAAGATCATGAAGAACATGCGAAAGTAGTTGTTACTCCTTCGACGGTTACTAGAAGATTGAAGTAACTCCTGCAACTATAAATAGCAGTTCAGAGAAAAAAAAAGAACTCCCAACTTAAATTTTATGAAGCCAAAATTCCATTTCTTTCATTCCAGTATTGTCTTTCCATTCCATAGGAGTAGCCATAACTATAACTTAAGTAGGAATAGGTTTTTTCACTTTACTTGTAATTTTATTTTGAATTAGTATGAATAACAATGTAACAATCAGTTACAATTTTCATTTGTTTATTTACTATTTTGCACTTTAATTTCACCGCAATTGATTCTCATTTTGATGTTCATTGTTGAAAAGTCCTCTTCACTAAGGGAATAGAAACTTAAATACATTCTCCTAGTTTGCATTCGGCTTAAGTCTGTAAAAATTATTCAATCTTTGTTGGCATGCTCGTGGTCATATTTTTGTCTTTCAAATGAGGAAAAAACCAATAAATCCATAATTAATTTACTAATAATTTGTAAGGAATCCAATTAATTGCAATATGAATAGTGTCAACTTGTAATTTTTAGAATCATAGCTAAAACTCATAATATATTTTTTTTTGATATCAAAACAAGTGGATAATATGCCGAAACAATATTTTTGTAACACACCTAACCCAAAAGACAAATATTTGTGATCCATCTAAAAAGGGAAGTGAATTTGCATGACTAAATTTATTCATTTATATAATAAATTTCACTTAAATATATGTACAAAGCCTCCAAAATGTTGATTGTAGACTAAAAACAACTTTTGCACCTATGTAAGCTAGGTTATTAAGTACTTTCAGATCCCTTGGTAAAGCTTTGATATTTTTATGAGAGAGAATAATTGTGAGTGTTTGGTTGGTTTTAAACCTCTTGTACATTGTCAACACATAAATATTTTTCGATTTTGTGATGGGTGATGATGGCGGTGGGAGGCTTTGAAGGCTGGAAGAAGGTCGGGAGGTATTCACGATGGCCGAGGTTGTAAAGATGAATTCGGGTGAAGGAGGAATGAGATTATGGTAATCGGGTAAATTTTTCAAATATTGATGGGTATTTTGATTATTTTGTTTTAAAAACAAGTGATGACAACAGATGCAATGTAATTTTTCAAATGTCGTGGGAAAATCTATAATAAATGCAAGTCTCAAGAAATGACAGTGTAATTTACCTAAAAATTAAAGATTGGAAAAATGAGGTGGAGGTGCTATCTTGAAGCATGAAAATTATTAAATACTTTCTGAGTATTATGTGTCGTTGCTAATGTAGTGCTCTCGACAAATAAAAAATCACCAACTTGCTAGATCAACTTTTGTTTCTCAACTACTTAACAAAGATAATCACCATATATCACCAGCAAAATTAGTCGCAGCGTGATTGATTTAAAACACTATATAGCCATTGTCACATCTCCAAGACTACTGAATAATTACTCATATTGAGGATGCACATATCATGAGTGAGCATGTACATACATCAAGATATTTAGAGACAGAGCATACAAACTCTCACTCTTTACCATAGAAACATCATATCTAATAGTACAATACATGAGCTAATACAAGCCTTGCATTTCCTTTTCATACAACTATGCTTCACAATTGTACTCCCTTTATGTAGCATTAAGTGTTGTACTCTTTTTATGTACAAATTTGCATCCGGCACTTCAATATGCACCACCTTGTGCTTATTCGTCTCTAAAAATGAAAGTTCAATGCATGAGATTCCTGTCGCTGTAGGATCTGAAACAAAAAATTTATACATAAGCAGCATAACCCCTCATGCAGAGCTAAATGAGAAGAAAAAAAAAAAATTGTTAACAAAAATTCATTACTACCCATTTGGTAATTGCTATAATAAACTAAAACATAAACACGAAAAGCTTAGACTCTGTTCGGCAACAACTAAAAGAGTTATTTTTTTCCAAATATTGTCTTTAGTGCAATTTTTTTGATTTGTCAAAAATTTACTTTACAAGTACATATAATCTATAAGAATCTAAGTAAAAAAAAAGGTCTATTTTTTTTTATATTTTTTTGGTTTTTACTTAATTTTTTTCAAATTTATTTATTATTTTATTTTTCAAGTCTGTCTACTCTAGTAGAACCTAAAAGTGTGAAACTTTTTGAATTAAAAAAGAAAACAAGAAATAAATAAATCACTAAAGGTGAAAAAAAAGTCAACAAAAAAGCCGCTAAAAAAGTAATTATCAAACCCCACCTTAATTTAATCTCCCAGGCTAGGACTGACACCTCAATAAACCTGAATATCAACACCAATACTCCTGAGCTGATCCGTGCCTACTGAGCATCCAAACTTCTTCCTCAACAGTTTCTGGTCGTAGCAACGAAGCCACAGGCACGAAAGCCTGCCAATAGCGGCCTGACTAGCAAACTGAACCCTACAAGCCAGGCTCAGCTCCGCTAATGACTTGCTGTTACCTACTAGATCCGAGTCATAGCTCCCATCATACCCATCAAGGTCTGATTCGGTTACCACAACTACGGAGCCATCATCAAAGACTGCCAAGTCTTGTTTTTTCGGGAATCCTACAGTTTTCCCCATGGAAATCTTCGTGCAGATGTTACCAAGTTTCTTCACCCTGTGAAAATAGTAGTTTTGAACGGCCTGCATGATCATAATTTAAGTTATGAGTTGGATAAAAAGAAAATAGATTAAGGGTGTGGGTTGTGTCCCATTTTCTCTATCGGACACTTTCTATATATTGTTAAATATTCAACACTATCTTTATATGTATCTATTGTTTTATAAATGTTCCAAAAATGGGTCTTGCTAATTAGGGTTGTCCATAAAGAATACAAAAATGCCAAAATATTTATAATCCCAATACACTTTTCACATATCCCAAAACACATACATATTTTATGCATCTTTTACACATTTCTATACACTTTTTACACAATTTCCACCACTAACAACAGTCCTAAGGGCTGTTTTTAGCATTTTCCATATAAAAATATGACAATTTTTTGTGGAGTTCACATACCCGTAAATTTAAAGTTTAATCAGTCCGACTTCTAGACACGCACCCGTACCAGAGACCGTGTAACATAATATATGGAAAGGGTTATGAGAGAATTCCAATAGGGGGACAATTATGAAAGGCGCATAATCTTATCAATCTAAACCTGCGAAGTCATGTTCATCAGATAATGATCATGCACAAAGTGAACAATCACTTCAGGTAGACAATTCTAATATATATATACATATTTTCATTTTGAGAAAGCAATCATATACCAGGGGGCTTTTTCTCGGTGAAGCAATTACTTTTGTCACAATTTCTATGATCCTAATGATGGTACCTAAGAAGCCTGCTTCGCACAATACTACCCCACATACCATCATCACATGACAAAAGAATAATGCTATATATACCAATTGGTGTACTAACTAGTGTACCAATTGATGATGTGACACAAATTAAGAGGTTTTTGAAATTTGTAATGTGATTAATGAGTGGGGTTAATAATAATGTCATAACTAGTGTTGGTACACTAATTAGTATACTAATTGGTGCATGTAACACCACTGCAAAAGTTTTCAACATTCAACCCTCACAATAAATAGCCAATTCTACATCTCTTCGTGGAAGTTGGGGTGACTCGATGAAGTTCAAAAAATATTTATGAATTCAGTTATACAAGTGATTGAAGATTGCGCACATGGTGAAATTAATAGAGATAGAAAACACCAAATCAAGACACTGTTTTAAAAAGAAACAATCAAATCACAACATTTAAAATAGAGAAGTTTTCATAAATATGACAAAAACGAAAAAGAATAACGACAAGATAATGGTCATAATTACAACCCACACTTATAAATGGAAGTCGTTATGGAATGGATTTGTCTGTGTCTAAGAACTTCAGGATCAACCAAAAGATAGCGGGCATGTTTGGTGTAGCTTTTTACAAGCTGAAAGCTGATAATCATATGTTCAATTTCCAGAATACAATCTCAAAATCAAAGAGACTCAAACTAACATAGAGGAGAAGTAACCATGCATACCTGCCACTGGGTGAGGGCCAAGAGTACCCTCGGCCTAATGGACCTCACATACACATATGCAGCATCAGGTGTCATCTGCTTGTGCTCCACCTATTTTAGAAGAGAAAATATCAGATAAAAGTAACTTTTACAAAGCAATGGATTAAAGTTTTACATTTTGATGCATACCAAGTAACAGAGAACAATGGTCGTGCTACGCCCTCGACCAGCCTTACAATGAACATATGTTGTTTTACCACATGACGCATTCACTTTACAAATCAAAACAAACAAAGTCAAGCTGTGCAAATTGTGCAGAAAGGGACACCCTTTTTTCCTCAACATTTCAATCAACAGTTATTTTTTAGTCATATGATACCACCTTAAATTACATGGAGAAGTACATTATTAATTCATCAGGAAAGAAAAATAAAAATTAAGAACTTAACAATTTTATTTATTTATTTATTTTTTAGAGAGAGAACAGATACTCTAGTAATAAACCTCTTTGGCTTTTACAGCAAAATGATTAAAGAACAAATTCATATCACAACTTGGTGCAATTTCAATCGGATGGAGATGATGACAATTGCAGATGATGTTAAGGACATGATGCATAATGCTTGACTGCCATCCTGTGACCAAAATGGTGTAGTTAACTTATATATATTTAAATAAGAGTACATCTTCAAACTCCTGTGCGCCAAATTAGTATTGGGTCCAGGGTTGATGAGCCTCGACTCGACTGATGAGGATCATGCAAAGAAGAAAAAGAGCAAATTTGGAATTTCACATGAAGCATATTTAGGGCATCAAGAATTAAAGAATTGGAATAATTTTGAGTCTTCATGTCATTATAGTAGGTTTCAATAGGGTATAATGGTAATTCCAATAATTATTGGACATGGGTTGTAGGGGTCACCCATGGGTTTTATTTTGGATCAAGTTATTAAATGAGTCATTATATATGGGTTTTAAGTTTCCTATTTTGATATTGAAGTAGAATTAGAAGTCATTAAAGTTCCCTATTATGACTGGAAGTCATAATTGGTCTAGAATATCAGTAGTTGCTAAATATTTTTAGTTTCTAAATTTGAGTTATAGTCCTTATAGAATTAGGAGAGTCTTTAGCTTATAAATATATGTGTAACTCAATGATTGAGGAGAAGAGTTATTATTATGAAAAATGGAGATTGTGTTTGTGTGATTGGCCTATCCCTTGTGAGGGTGAAACACTTCTCTCTCTCTCCCTCTCTCTCTCTCCAGCAAGGTTACTGTTCCCAGTGTTTAAAATAGCCCCTAAACACTTGTGTTTTCATTCTCAAAATCCTACCCTTTTGCAAACCCTTAAACTCCTTTAAAATCCCACCAAATCTAACCCTATAAGTCTATTGTTACTGTTGCCAGTATACTTAAACCTAGCTCACTACTTTTAGGAAAATAATCCCTACTCGTCCTACATCGACTCTATAAATAAGACAACTTGTGAAACAAAAAGTGAGTAGAGTAAAATAAAATTTTTATATACTTCAGAAAATAACATGTTCCAAAAGGGGAGAACTTGAGAAGAATAATTACCATGGATGAAGTTTACAGCTTGACAAATATCACCATATGATGGAGCAAATAGATAATCTCTTGTAGGAATCACCAAATGGTCAATGTTGTGAGCCTGCAAAAAATATGAAAATTTTTAATTGCACGGACTTGATAAGCACTTTGACATCAGTTTGAGAGACAAGGTCCACTCAATGGTGCAAAAAAAGAAAAAGAACGTTAAAAAAGTGACTTCTATATACTAATTCAAACGCAGTTACAATTTCAGGATAAAAATAGTGTATGGTGCAGAGAGAATGTGCAGGACTAGCAATATTAACAACAGCTATGAGTGAATTTAAGTAGGTTTTAGGTCAGACCACTCCCCCCTCGCCCCAAAATTTCAAAATTCCTTCATCTTTGAACTATGAGCCCTTCAAAAAAGTATGTCAGCTTCCCAAAATTTGTTACAAATTCCGATAATTAGCTAGCTTTTATCTAACCCATCCCCCCAACCAAAAAAATAAAAAATGCACAGGCTGATGTGTTTGGAGTGAGGCTACCCTTGCTGACCCGTCAATCCATTGCCTACTTCGAAAGGCCCAAACTAGAATTTTGACATGTATGACTGACAGGTTAGGTTTAGGGTGGCTCTTCCTCAACCCAATCTTAAACATCCATCTTTGGGACAATCCAAATCTAAGAAGCATGGACCACCACTACCACCTCACCTACTCCACTAAACCTAACCCACTACACCTACACCTACACCTACATCTATATAAGGAACCATTTGTAATATACAACAATAAACATCAATCAATAATACATAAATTTTTACACATGGACATGAACACATGACACGACACGAACACGTAGACATGCCAATTTTCAAAAAATGCTGGACACAACACGTGGGGGGCACACGCATGCAAGGCCAGCTCAAGCAACATTCAGGCCTAAAGCCACAATTTCAAACGAGGCTTTTTATATTTAATTTTATAAATCAATAATTAAAATTTTGAGAATAAATTATGCCAAAACTCCTGAACTTATTATCTTTTTTTGATTAGGCTTTACACTAAAATTTTTACTTTTAACTTTCCAAATTAATTCTAAACAGCCTTTTGTTACAATATGTTTACTTTTTGATTGTTAAATACATTATATGAAATCTAACTAAAAAATAAAATTGTAAAATTAATCATAATATTTTTTAAAAAAATTCAAAACTAGAACCAAAATATATAGAACTACCATTAGTTTCAACGTCAACATTAGATTTTTGAGGTTGTTAATGAATTTTTAGATCAAATTTCACTTTTCCCCTATGTGTAGTTTACTTCATAACATTTGAAAATAAGCACTTTACCCATTGTATTGTAAAATTAATCATAATTTTTTTTAAAAAAAATTCAAAACTAGAACCAAAATATATAGAACTACCATTAGTTTCAACGTCAACATTAGATTTTTGAGGTTGTTAATGAATTTTTAGATCAAATTTCACTTTTCCCCTATGTGTAGTTTACTTCATAACATTTGAAAATAAGCACTTTACCCATTGTGGTTTGTGGATTAAAAGTGCTACCATTAACGGCTCAAGCAAAAAAATTAAAATACTCTTGTATGTAAGTAACCTCATTATAAACTACACGCATTTTTGTCTTTTTTTGGAACTTAAAATGCATTACCCCTTGTGTTTTACTAAACGTGTAGTTTATTCCTCATATTTCGATATGAGCACATAACCTACTTATTTCCATACCAGTGTTTCATACTTGCACTAAATTGGATGAAATGTCTAGCAATGCACTATAGTTTACAAATCACAAGGAATTACATAATTACTTCTAAAATTAACCTATTTTTATACATTAAAAAATAAAAATTTTAGTGTTATTAATATAAAAAATGCTTATATTTGATTTATTGGATAGTCTTATTTTTTTGTTTGATGACGATTAGGTAATTATTTTGGCTATTGAATAACAACTATAGTATAAAATTCAAAATTTTGAAAAATTTGGGGCTTGGAAAAATTTGGGGCCTAAAGCACTTGCTTTAGCTGCTTCATGCTTGAGTTGGCACTGCACGCGTGAAATATATAATTTTATATATTTATTATATGTTATTTATATAAATATATCATTTAAAGATAATAAAAAATGCAATATGACACTAATTCCTATAAATTTATATAGTTTTTGTTTTATTATTGTATCTTAAGTTGTTTTGTTCGAACTTATAATTAGTTTCGCATGTATCTAATCGATAGACACGTGTGTTTAAGCGATAGGTATGTGTATTCTCCAAGTGTCTAGATCTTTAAAAAATAAGACAGTTTTGAAGAATGTCGGACACGTGTCGGGGAAGTGTCCAAAGAGTATCGGTGTTTGACACAGACACGACACGGATACGTCACTTTCTTAGAAGTATCCGACCTTCTTAGATCCAAATGGACCCAACTGGATGTAATTGTACTTAAGGATATATAGTTAACGTCAATAGCAAATTTATTTTACTGACTATTCTATTCATTTCAACATTACTATCACATTTAAAAAGATTTTTAAAGTAATGGAGTGAAAACTACAAATAAGTCACCAGCAAGCATACTCACATGATATAATGATGTTGGGACCAAAGTTTCATATGGTTCATTTAGTGTAATCACTCCAGAAACACCAAGTTCCTTCAAGTGTGGAACATCAGTAGGAAATGGAACAGCACCTAACAGTATGAACTGATAACAGGAAAAAGTTAAAACTGCATGAAAGATATTGCAAATTTACTAAAAGGAGAATTACCATGTGCATAACACAAAATTCAGATGATACGATCAATACTACATGTAAGACCCACAAACCTAAATTATGAATACAATCTTTAATCTGCAGTCATTCTCTAATGAAATCATATGAGAAACATGCATACAGCTAGAATTTTTCATCATATCAGATTCACCAGCCAAGGTATGCTCTCAGTGAGTCAATACCACTGTAATATAGATAGGAACTAGAATTTGCTTAGTAAGGAAGATGTAGAAACAAAGAGTCCCACATACAAATTTTATGAAATAATAAACTGCATATTCAGATGAACTTAAAACATGGGAGGCCTCACTATAGCGTAGTGATCACTTTAGCTTGTTCTACCCCACCCTCGTCCCGATTATATTTATTAAATATATTTATATTTATATGTATTTTGTCTTTGGTGATTTTTTTTTTCAATATAATATTTACAAAATACTCTGTAATCTAAGTTCCGTGTTTGGTTCACAAGTAAAATTGAAAGTGTATCCCGCAAACAACCACCATCATTATGCTGATAATAGATATATAAATGCATATTGCATATGCATGTATCATTTTGATGGTAGAAGTATAAATCGGAACAACTAAAGCTACCACTGTCTAATTGAAGATACAGAAATAGGCAGTAGGATCAACAATTGATTTAAAATTCAATAGCTTACACCTTAACATTAAACTAATATAAATGTACAGCAGAGAAAGGTAAAAATTTCCAAAACCAGCCCTTCTTAATTACCCCGTCCCCACCCTAACCCTGCAAACTCCCTGATTTGCTTTGCCCAAAATATGATTCGGTCCGGGAGTTGAATGTCGTTTTGGCATCTGGAAAGATCAGTGGCCAATTTTAAATTTCCATTTGAAACATAAAGGCCAATTGTTGTGTCTTCAATGGCATTGCATAATTTTATAATGCAAGAGGCAAAAGCGTATGCAAAATTCAGACATTATAATGAAGATAAAATGTGTGAGTGATAATAAAGAAATGGAAATTATGATGATCCACTTGATCTAATTGGAATGGTGGACCACCGACAACACAATGAGTTGAGAGTCTTAATTTAATATTGCATTCCAGAAGAATTGATTGAAGTTATTTGTGTTTTCGTGTGATTGGATCAACTTTATAATCATTTTTAGTATAATAATAGAAATAAATTTTAATTATCATTAAAATTTTCCTTTCTAATTTTATTGAGTAGTTGGGTATTGGTAAGATTACATGCAAGGGCAACGCCAGTGTATTGATGATGGGGTCCCATCCCCCCATCAAGCAAATAAAAACTCTTAAAAAAAATTTATTTGTATTATTAATATTTTATTTTATATAGTTTAATTCTTTTAAAAAATCAAGGGACTCTATCAAATAAGAAAAAAAGTTCAATACAATGGTAATGCCATGCAATTGGTACTATCATCCAATAACAGCTTGCCATTATTCTCTCGAGTATATGTGACAAGGTAATTATTTTATGAAAGTGGGATTACCCTCCATGTGTAGGTTTATTATTGGTAGGTAATACCACATGTCAATGGCGGCATAGTATTACCATGACAATGAATTTTTATTCGTCAAATAAAGATGTACACCCATTAGAGATCTACTTTTTGAGAAGATAAAATCTGTTTGGTAAATAGTTTTCAAATATAGTTTTTAAGTTTTCTGTTTGCTTATCTTTTCTTTGGTGAATTTTTTACATGTCTTAAGTTATTTTTTTTAATTTTTAAATTAATTTAATCTAGATACACATAAAAAGTAAAATATTTGTCAATAATTTTTTTTTTTAAATTTACTAAATACAAAAAACACAAAAATTCACCACATTTTTCATAAATATTTTATCGTTTAAATGCATCCAAAAAAATGACTAAAATATAATTTTTTTTTTACTAAAGGCGCCAAAACACAGAAAACAAAAGAGCTCAAAAACTATTTTTAAAAATTAAAAACTAAACATAATAATGTTGTTTAGTTTAAAAAAAAAATTATGTTAAAATTTATAGAACTTAAGCTTATGAGGTTACCTCATCTATAAAAATTCCTGGAGTCACCACTTATTACATGCTATGATGCATGTGTATGGGTACTGGTATGAGTATTGGTATGATACAGATACGTTAATAAGATAAAATCTAAATAAATAAATAAGTAAGGTACAGGCATGGCTCGGTATGTTCATTAAAAAATGTTTATTTTTTATTTGGAATAATGCACAAATTAGTTAAATTTAAATGGTTTAGTTGGTTTAACATCCAATCTACAATTTCACATTTAATGCCAAAAGTAAGGTATAAACTAGAATTAAATATCATTACATTAAATAAATTGCAAACCAAAGCTTAAGCTTAAAAGTCCTCCCTACAAACTCCTTGATGTAGGACTTTCAACTACAAGAAAGTGTGCCAAACAAACCCTAAGTTTTGAGTACGACAAGCCCAACCCCTCCCCCATAGATAAACTTATAATTTCAACTCTTTTACGTTGCTTCCTCAACAGGGTTTCAAATATGAACGGGGTTATTCAGAACAAGGAAAACAAGAGGACGTTAACAACATGTGGATAAGCACTAAAAATAAAGAGTAAAGGAAAAGGAAGGCAAAGGAATGTAGGTATACCTCATCAACCCTATCCCACCAGCGGAACTCGGATTGAATTTTGTTTCTCACAATATTGTATAGCAATGTTGGATAGAAAAGAGCACGAGCCCCTGCCCCGACCAAAACCCGTTTGGCATCTGAAACAACTATGGCACCACGGTCACTATCAGCACGACTCTGCTCCTCCACACTTTCAAAATCCCCCACCTCCTCCTTCAGTTCTTCAATATACATAGCTGCCAATATGCTCTCACCAACACCAATTGACCACCACCCTTTACACTGTGTTTGGGAACCTAGGAGGGAAAAGAAAAGAAATGATTAGTTAAGTAATAAGAGAAAAGAAAAGAAAAGAAATGATTGTAATTTCTCTCATTTTTGTTTGGATAAGGAAAAAATAAAAGAAAAGAAATGATTATGATTTCTCTCATTCTTATTTGGTTAGATTTCATTAAGAGAAAAGAAAAGAAATTATTTTATGTTATATTACCAAAAAAACCTTTTTATATTTTTAATCATTTTATTTCTTTTATTTTTATAGGGACAAAATTGGTATTATGAAAATAGTGGTTTCTTTTCTCTTTCAATCTCTCCACTTTTGGGAAGATTGAAAATGAGGCTTATAAGAGAAATTTCTCTCAATTTCTTCCCATTTCTCTCCACTTAAATTATCCAAACAAGATATCTCTCCATTTCTTTTCTTTTCTCTCCAAATCACTCAATCCAAACATAGCATTAATCTTAACCTTCAAAAACCTTAAAATCAAACTAAAGATTGATAAAGATATCTACAATCTCACCACCAAATTCAAATCAAACTAGGAAGCAAAACACCATACAACAAAAGCATTGAACAAAATAACAACCGTTTAATACCCTTCAAAAAAAAAACAAAAAAAAAAAAAGCCAACAAATCTACACCCAAGACCAATTTCTAACAAAATTTTAATCCTAGCCTTCAAAAACCGAGAAATAAAACTATAAATCAAGCAATTCACAATGAAAACTACAAACCCACAAGCCACCTCAAATCAAAACCCACCTCAAGCTACAAAAACTACGATTTGTACATCACATTGAACACATTGAAAAAAAGATTCAATTGAAGATTGGAAACAGTGATACCGTAGCTTTTGATCGGTAAGGGACGATCCCTCAACAACAAAGATATGCGAAACGATCAGTCAAATTGAAGGCATTAAATAGCTCTTTTGCTCGATTTGTTGGTGAGGTGAGAGAGGCACACACTCTCTCTCTAGCTTTCGTTATCTCTCAACAAACCCTCTGAAAACGAAAGTAACACTCTGTTAACAGGGAAGATTTATTAGATGAGCCCTCTGTTTTGGCTCCTGCTTTAGATAGAGATATGTGGGGCCTTGGTTCCTCTCGTAGTGGTCTTCCTTAGTTTTGGCTTCGGCCCGGAGTTTACCAAAAAAAAAAGAAAAAAAAAGGGGGTTGTTGTTATAGTTGGGGTTGTTGGGATTCTGCAACCAAATGGAATTACCTGCAACTCGAAGGAAGCAAAATGAAAAATAATAAATAGTATTTTCTAAAATTGATAAGTAGATAAAGTTTGAGATAATTAAAAAAAAGAAAAATTAGTCTTTCGTTCTTCTCCCATATTTAGTAATGGAAGAGATACACAATTTTATTTTATAATAATGTCTAAGATCCCTCAACTCCCACACCCATATATGACAGAGAAATTCCTACCTCTCTCTCCCCCGATCTCTTCAAAAACTAAGTTTGATCTTTCTAAGTTTGGTCTCTCTCTTCTCACTTACTCTCTCTCTCTCTCTCTCTCTCTCTCTCTCTCTCTTCCCTACAACCAAATGAACAAAAGCTGCAAGATCTTCGTCTACCTTATCCCCAAATCCCACCCCTTCGCCAATGTCCTCCTCTCAGTCTCCAGTGATCCAGGCGGCAACTACGCCAGCGAATCCTTCTTCAAAAAGTCCCTCGCCAAGTCCCACTTCCTCACCACCAATCCCTCCGACGCCGACTTCTTCTGCCTCCCCTTCTCCATCGCCGCCATGCGTCACGATCGGCAAATCGGAGTGGAAGGGATTCAAAACTTTGTTAGGGATTATGTTGTGAAGGGCAATGATTGCAATTGACTGCTCCGGTGATTTGAGGCAATGGCAACAAGAAGCTGTGATACCGCAAAGTATCAAGATCACAAAGGTGGAGACCAGAGATGATGGTGCAAAGATTATGAACTGGTAGAAGAATTCAGATCAAACAAGGATGGGTCAAACTAATTGTAGTAGGTTGGGAACAATAATTCAATGACGAACAATGTTGCCGAAGTTGTTCAATGGGTGTTACCGCAGATGTTGCAAACTGGAAAGACAATGATAAATAGCAAAGGCAAGAATCCCAATGAAGAAAATATGATGTGCTGGCAAAGTGAGATGGGCATTAGGATCTTTTGATGGATGAGGATTTTGATGCTACCAATGCTTCTATTTAGAAGGAGATTTAGTTGGTGGGTTGGTGTGAAAATGAAGGTATGAGTGAGCAAACGAAAGAAAATTGTGTTAGCTTTTTAATCAATTTTTTTTGATTGAGTCAACGTACAAAGAAAATGGTTAGTAAATTGGAGAGAAATTCTGGAATTTTCAAAGAATTTCTCTGGGTTCGTTTTGACCAATTTTTTCTGGGTTCAAATTCAAATTCAAGTTCTCTGGGTTTGGGAAATTTATCTGATTTGAGTGAATTTCTTTGGGTTTGGAGAAGAGAAATTTCTCTGGAGAGAAGGGAAGGCTAGGAAGGCCCAAAGAAATTTTCTCTGGAGAGGGAAATTTCTCTGAAGGCCAGGGAAGGAAAATTTATCTGGAAAGAAGGGAAGACTAGAGAATTTTTCAAATTTTCTCTGGAGAGTTGAGTCTAGGAGATGTAGGGAGGGCAGAAAAATTTGTTTAATTTTCTCTGCCTTTTACTGAGTAAAATTGGTGAAGTCAATTTTCTCTGGGCTTGGGAAGTCCAGAATTTATCAATTTTCTCTGGTTTGAAAATTGGTCAAACTGAACCTAGAGAAATTCTTTGGTAGTCCAGAATTTCTCTAGAAAAAATTTCTCTGGACCAATTTTCTTTGGATCAACTTGAGAGACCTTAAACATTATGAAAATATTAGATGTCATTTATGCTATTAAATCTTAATACGAGGGATCTTAAAAAAAAATCCTTGAAAAATTAAAAATTTTGACCTTTATAATAAAATAAAAGATAAATTATAAAAAAATTCATAAATGGGTCATTGACTTTTTGAGCTCAGCTCCTCTCAGGAGATTCAGGTTTTGTCTCAATAATTCAAATCGTTTATTTATTTGTTTTGTAGAGTTTAAGAATATTTTTCATATCAAAATTAAATTAATTAGATATTACTAACCTTTTAATTGAATCACATTTATCTATAATTATAAAAAATACACTTAATAAATCTCATAAAATGAATAATTTAAATCATCGAAACAGACACAACATAAATCCATAGTAGGTGACTCCTCCAATCCACTACTATGGCCTTGATTTTAGGACATACGAAATGACTAAAAATCCCTCATATTACATTAATTATAGTTACTGAAATCCTATCTACTATTCTCTTCATTTCAAAATATTATCCCTTTTGAATTTAACTCTTTTTTATAGTACATTTAGGGTCCGTTTGGAAAGATGGTTTGTGGCTAAAATAGTCATAAAAGACAAAATAGGTTATTTTAACCACAACAAATAAAGCATCACATCTAACCTATAATCATTACACTCTTCTCTTACAAAAAAAGTCAAAAAAGTCAAAAAGTCAAAAAGCCCTTCCCAAACCAAGCTTTTTAGCCCAGGCTAAAATAGCCAAAAAAGTCAAAAAGTCAAAAAGCCAACTCACTTCTTATTACATTTCAAAATATTAATTTTTCAAAACTATGCTTTAATAGTACAATTATTATACTTCAAAAATATTAATGTTAATAAATTTAAAAGAATAAGAAAATAAAAAATTTATGTAATTTTAGTCCTTCAAAAGCATGAATAGTTTTTTTAAAATATAAATATTCACATTTATAATTTTCACACTATTATATATCTATATATATACATAGGAGGAGTCCCATGATAACACATTTCTTAAAAATATACAATTTTAATAGTGGAAAGATTTCACTTTAAAAAAAAAAAGTGTAAATTTTTTACTTTTTTCATTTTACAAATTTTTTTATTTAATTGAGATTTTGTTTGATAGATCTTATCTAATAGTTTTAAAAATTTTAAATTTTATCAAATATGGATGTGTATTTTGAAAGTTATAGAATTTTAAAATTTTGAAACATATAAAAAAAATAAAAATAAAACTATCATATAAGCAATGACCAAAATAAGAGTAAGATATCAGTAAAAAAAATATCTAATTTCAAAAAAATGTAGAATATAATTCCAAACATAGAAGACTTATGAAATCACGAATAAAAAATACTTAACGTGTATATATAACGAATATTTAAAAAGATTATATATTTTTTATTACATGTACATTCATATATAATATACAAACCTTTTAAGTTTCTTTATTTCAACACGTTAACAAAATTCACAATTTTACAAGTTTATGGAAGAAATAAAAAAAATATAGCCAACTTCAAAATGTTTTTAACTTTACTTGTTGCTAATCTTAAATAATTTCCTATTGTGCCAAATATGAATCTACCTCAAATAGATTGATTCGTTATATAACTCAACTAGCCAAATACAAGTCTAATTAGATGTTATGTTAACTCTTGTATTAAACAATTATTATAGTTTTTATAACTCAACTAGCCAAATACAAGTCTAATTAGATGTTATGTTAACTCTTGTATTAAACAATTATTGTAGTTTTTATCAAATGGTAAAGTGAGAAAATTAATTCTGATGAATAATTGTTAATCACAATCTTATTTTTAACAAGTAATCACAACTTCAATATATACATATTTTTAGCTAACAAACAAGAAAATAAAATAAGGGTAAATTACACCGGCCTCTTCTAATGTTTGAAAGAAATGGAATTACTTCATAATTTTAGCATAATTATATTAAGTTTTCTTAAAGTTTAAAATATGATATTATCATATCTTTTTATAGTAAGACGTCTATTCTCTTCAGACTCACTAAAATAGAGGTATAATACTTCTCACTCTGCTTATCCATGGAATTTTGTGTCTTGTATGATGTTGGTATAATATTTATCACTCTACAACATGTTTATAATTATTTTATTTTTTCAGGTGATGAGTTGGAGAGAGAGATGCTGATCTTTAGTGTATAGCTTTTGGAAATTACCAAAATGAAACACTTTTTTTTGGGGGGGTAAACTTCGTAATTATGTTATGTACAAGTTTACCTCCTTATTTTGTATTGAGTAATGTTACAAATTCAGACTTAACATTCAGAAATTATTCAGAATTATTATTTTGTGGTTCAATTTCATTCTATATATAGACCCCACGCTATACAAATTCAATCATAATCACACAATCTCTTTCGGATAAATTTGGGATAATTAAGGGGGGGAAATAGAATTATTCTTTTGTAAATTGTATATAAGCTAACTTAACTAACCTTAAGTGAGATTCTTAAGTTAAACTAATATCGTTAAATTATAATTACTCAATAAATTATCTTTCTTAAAGACTAAGTATGGCTGGTTTGAGTTAAACTATACCACCTAAGCTAATGAAACAATTAGTGGTTTAAGAAAATTTGTTCCTACAACAAAAGAGAGAAGAATGGAGAAAGACAGAGAAAGTTAGAGAGAAATTTTCTTCTTGAGTATTAGAAGAGAAAATTAGAGGAAAAAAAAAAGAAATAGGAAAAAAAAAATCAGAGTGAATTCAAATTCATTTTTTTGGACTTGAGAATTGAGTACTCAGGTGATTTAGAAAACCTTAAGTGATATACTTAAGTCAAACTAAGATCGTTAAATTACAATTACTAAATAAATTCTCTTTTTTAGAGACTAAGCAAGATTAGTTTAAATTAAACTTGGTTATTTGAACTAATGAAAAAATTAGTGACCTAAGATAATTAGGGAAATGGCTATTTTTTTAGGCTTTTTGGCTATTTGACTATTTTAATAAACTATTTTAGTTTGTGTGTTTGGGAAGATGGATTGAAATATTTTTGAATGATTGTATAGGTAAAAGTGTTTGAAATGATGTTTTGTACTGAAATGACCAAACTGCCCCTCCATATAAGATGTCATGTTCCAAGCTAGGCAATTGGCTTGCTGACGTGGGACGGAAGGATCTTGCAGATCACCATTTTTTTTGAGTACGTTACAAACTGCCTAGCTTGGAACATGACATCTTATATGGAGGAATTTGTATAATTGCAAGGCAACTGTATAATTGTTGACGTGGGATGGAAGGATCTTGCAGATCATCTTATAATTACAAACGG